CCTCCAATCGAGTACGACGAAAACGCGTTACCAGCATTCGTAAAAGCAGCGCAAAGAACCAAGCCTGCGAATTCTATGCCACGCTTGGCATAACGGTGTGCCGCGCCTGCAACGACCGCTGTACCCAGAGAGTGGCCGAGGAGTACTATTCGATCTGGCGATATTCGCGCTGTGTTGAGTGCCCAGTCAATGATTGCATCGGCATCGCGGAGCAGGCCCGGTTCCGAAGGGTTTCCTGTTGATTTGCCAAAACCGCGGTAATCGAATGCGAGGACGAACATTTTCTCTGATGCTCCTGAAGAGTAGGATCGGTATTCAATGGTTCGTCGTTCCTGCGCGATTGTTGCGGAGTTGCCATGGAAGTAGAGTAGCAATTTGGCGTCTGGGTCATCGCGTAGAAGTTTGAATGCGAGATGTTCTTCAATTCCACCCGACTGCTCTTCAATGAACTCATTGGCATGTCTTGCGTAGACACCTAGTGGTGTAATAAGCCATGTGAATAGTTTCTCATCGTCGCTTGTTGTGATGTTGAAAGGCGTAACCTGATTCTCTGGAAGGATGAGCCATGATATCCATCAAGTTTTGCACCTTTTCACGTACTCAAGAATCCAGCTCTTTCAGGTTCATCGAGCCACTTCCCTGGGAAGAAAGTGATGTTGTGCAAATACAGCATTTCTGTTGATCGTCAGTATTATCACGAGCTAGCATTGGCAGGGGGCTGGACCAACGTTTCTGGACCCATGGTATGCAACACAGCAGAGTTGCTGGTATCCAAATACCGCTTATTAATGACAAGGAAACACCGAGCGCAATATATAGACTCATATTGGAAAGGTATGAGAAGGGTTGTCATGGAAGCTGCACGTGTAAAGTGGGATTTCATACGGTGCTAGCGCGCCTGCCCTGATCTGCGCCTCCCGCTTCCTCGTGGCGGCAGACACCGGAAAGCACGACACATGCTAGAGCATCGTCACTTCATGATTGCAGACGTACTGAATTATTAACAACACCTCGCACCGTCTTGCGAAGCCTGCTGGTAAGGGATTCACGGCATGCAATCGCCCACGTCCCTGTCTTGGCGAGCCATTCACAATAGCCTGTTCGAGACAACATTAACGAATAATATACAGGCCCCGCGTCATTCATCCCGCTTGATAGATAGGAGCTTCCGTCTTGTAGTACTTCGTCTTGACCGGTTGCTGCTCCATCGCATGGCGCCCTGCAGTCTTTGCTATCGCTTCCCGTTTCTTCATCTTCATCTCTGTGACTTGCAACGCATGTTTCTGGCTCTCTGACACACCCAAGAGACCCATCTCACCACGTATAACAACGCGATAATCTTTGCGCGACGGTGATTTTGTATGTGGTTCATCTTGTTTCTCCCTGTCCCCTCCTCCTGTTGTAATCGCTTGAACTCCAGTAACTCTTTTGCTTCGATACTGCGAGCCTCTGGCTCTCGAGTGCGCAAGGCCCGGTTTGTAACGCAGTTGCGTGACTTCAGAGCGCGAATTGATAATAGCGCCAGATGGCAACCTCATTTCTGTTTTTGAGAGCTTGACTACTACAGTCTTTTCTTCCTCTTCTTGTTCTTCTTCATCCTCTTCAAAGTTCTTGGTTTCCCAGAAGTCAAGAAGCTCGGATCCCGTGTGGAGATTGAGCATGCAGTGTCCTCTGTATCGCATGTGCGTTTGTACGCCTTCGACAGTGACTCTTGCGATACCGCAGTAGAGACATTCGTTATATTCGAAGACAATGGTAGCGAGATAGCCGAAGAAAGAGTCAAGGTCGTAGAGGCGGTCCTGTGAGGGGATGAAGAGGCCATGCATGGTCGACATGTGATCGATATTCGTTGTGAGGGAAGGCGACGAGGTAGGACAGAAGAGACATTGTGTCAATGGTACTTCAGTGGAGATTTCGACTTCTGGCAACGGTGCATGATTTGAAATGGGGGTAGATTTGATGTGAGCAATGTGCGGAGGGGATAACGTCGTTCTCGGCTCAGTGCTGAACTTTGGTCGATGGACATCCTCTTCGCCCCCAGCTTGTGCATCGTATTCTCCTTCCGATACTGCCGGTAGTTCAGCTACTCGACGCCTGAGATTATATATACTGCTACAATTAGCCACCGACTACGTATGTTTACGTTTGTACATACTGCCACGATTGTCGCATATGCGAGCGTTGAAGCTCGCTAGTTGTGAATGTGATTGAACAAGTGTTGCAAGGAAACATACGCGGCTTCGAAGCCATGATGGCGGTTCCCTTATTGGCTGATCTTTGGGAGTAAGTGCTGAGTGTAGGTTGACTAGATATGTATACTGTGAAGATACTGTAGCACCAGATCCGAGGATTCTGGGTAAGTACAAATGATCGAAGTTGGTATGATGAACTTCAGGAAGCTGCAGATATCCTCAATATATAAAAAATCATAGTTGGGGGAATGTAGCAAAGAGCATGGTCACGTGTTCGTCTCCATGGGGCGCAGTGCGATGCAGCCACAAATGACTCATTATTACTTTCCCATCTGTGGCTACATCACACTGCGCCTCGTTGATCTGATAGGACAAACGATTCAATGCATTTTCCCTTCATCATAAAGCGATGAAAATAACCATACAACCCGAACACGCCTCGCCATACCATATGTACTCATACAACATTAAATCGTCAATAATGTACAATGCAAAAGAAGTATGCAAATAAGAAAACGAAAATGTACAAATGAATGGTATATGATGCCTTACGCGCTCTCTGCTCTCCCACTGCCGCTACCTTCACGACTGCTCCTCCTCTTGACCTGCGGCCTTGACAGGTCCGTCTCGCTCCTCGTTGCTTCGGTAGCAGCTTCGTAACCCTCTTCCTCCATCTCGCTCATGCTTTCTGCATTGCTAAGAGAGCTTAACCGCTTGCTCTGCCAAGGTTGGTTGCCTTCACCAGGAGTATTTGGCCTGGCGCCAGGTAGATTTGGTCTGATAGGTTGTTGACGGGCAGACTGCGCGTTGCCCTGTGTGATCGTCTTCTTCGACCGGAGAGAGCCTTGGCGCGTGGTGCTTGCAGAGCTACCAGTCGTGCTGTTACTCCAGCGACGCTCCCTCTCCCCCATGGCCCGTGGCCTTCCATCCAGGTCGAGGTCGGGCGTGGGCGTGGTACTTCGTGAGCTGCTCCGTGACTGACTTCCGTCTCGACCTCTTGCACTCTGCAGCATACTAGGCCTTCGCTTTCTTGCATGCGCTATGCTATTATTGCGACTGTGACCATGATGATGGTGCCCTGACTTCTCCACATCCGCACTCCGGCCACTGATGCCACGAGCACGCTTCCATCCTCGCCAGCCGGTCCACCAAAGTAGTCCACCCTCTTCTCTTGCAATCTCGCGTTGCCTGGCACGAACGCGTTTCCGGAGCTCGGCCCGTCGCTCGTTCTCAGTGGCCCAGTACTCGTTGCGATATACCTCCCAGTCCTGTCTGAAGTCTGGAGTAAATGGCTTCGGGAGGAGTAGTAGCTTGATGTAGTCGCCTCCTGGTGCTATGTCTTCCTCGGCATACTCCTTGCCATCTTCGACTATGCGATGTCTGGGACGACCGCTATCTAGCGAATGCTTGTTCTCTTGTGCGACATTGATGAAGTGATATGAGCTGCCGCCTTGCTCTCCACCCCAGAGTCCGCCAGAGAAGGGTACCACGAAATGGCCCCATTCAACGAGCTCTCTCCACCAAGGTCCTCTGATGACCACGATCTTTGCATTCATTCCCCTCAGGCCACGGTTCGCAACGCCTATCCAACGTCTGGGCCATCTGACACCCCGTTCCCATTGACCCGTTGCCCAAAAAAGGAGTGCTGTGACAACACCCGTGATGAAGCCGACCTTTTGTAGCATATCAAGCAGCCAGTACTGTGAGCCTCCTATGCCTTTGCCGTCCTCTCGAGGCCGTAGCCAGAGGAGGTAAAAGCAAAACCCTATCCATAACGCGAGGAGGGTAAGCACGAATGTGTTCTGCCGCCGGCGTGCGCGGAGTGTAAGGTACTGGCTGCGCAGGCTAGCTTCGAGGATGAGGAGGTTCAGGTAGATTTGCGGCGGGGCGGAGGGCAGCAACGCAGTCGGGTCGTTGATGACGGAGAGTCGTGGTGGTTTGAGCGCTGATAGTCGGTCGTTCGCGTCGTGGGGTGAGGTGTGTGCGTTCACGCTTTGGGCAACCTTGTCGAGATTTGTATTCGAAGCTGGTGCGCCCTTGACTATTTGGTCTAAAGTTGATGGCGCCATACCATCCGGTGCTATCCTCCTCTGAAGCTCACGCCTGGATCTCCAGGGCCAAGGGTCGCGCGTTGATGTGTCCCGCTGTGTATAACAATGACATGTGAAAGTCGGTGCAGCCGGTAGATGCGTGATGCGCGTTGTGACGTGACACCTGAGAAGGGAATGAGTGTCTCAGAGGCCCAAGAATAGCCTGGAAAGAGTGAGAAGCGCGTGGGAGGGGTATGTGTGTATAACAATGATGCAGATGCGCGGGAGCGGTTGCGCGAGGCCTGGTCGTCATGCCGCGGGCTCGCTTAGTCTGGCGGTGTACTGGGATTGCTGGCATGAACTTTCACCCCACAAAACTAGTCTCTACTGGGCAACTCCAGCTGTTGTTCGAACGATCGCGCTGGCCCTGCAGTAGTTTCGTGTGGTGTCAGTCGGATGTTGTCTGCATGTTGAATTTGGAATGACATGGCGCTGAGCAGATGAAGATGAGTTTGATTACATCTGCGACTATCTATACTCTCATTCTATGCCAGACACGACACTACTAAGTAATTCACCTATGACTGAATTTCAATGGCAAAAGAAAACATGAAGCAATAACATCGATGGTACATACATGTAGCTGGGGACAACTTCGACCTGGGTTCGGGGGCGCTATGGCCACTCGTCCACGAAAACCCCTTCACCCCCACCTGACAGTCCAAAAATACAACCAACACCATCCCACCATGTCAAAATGGCAAAAAACAAAGTTTGTCGACCGAAGAGGGACTCGAACCCTCAGCCTCAGCCTTCCACCTGTCAGTAGGAGGGCTGCGCGCTACCATTGCGCCATCCGGCCAGTTTTGACTTGTTATGACAAATCTGAGTTGGCATAGATTATATAGCATTGTTTTCTCCGTGTGTCAGTGTCAAAGACGTGTCTCATCATTATATGTTGGTCCTGCATGTTCAAAACTGATGTGCTGGCGGTTCTTTGTTCGCTGTGGAATGTTCGCCGAACTTCGGCTCAGACCTACGAGTTTTGCGCGGTGGGGAACCGGTGCGGCAGCCAACCACATGATGGAGCGGACATTGCTCTGGATAAACTGGGTTCAAAAGTGTACTATGGTAAGTCAGTGGACGCTGTTGTCAAGACAGAGGTGCAATGTACAGAGGAGAGGAATATTGCACCAATGACCTCAAATAGCTTCCTCAGTCGATGAGACCAAGTAACGGCTGCGCTGCAAAATCTCTGGCGCTTCTCTCACTACATACCACCTTTATTTCATACCTGCTGCGTATCGGGCTTGTCTAATTGCTCTTCTACTTGCAGGTTGTAGATAACAATCAACAGCCCGCCCGCTTGCATAGTGTTAAGCAGTCAGACTGCTGATCATACGACCGTTACACATCAGAACAACGTAGTCTATGGAAATGCTGCAAGTAAAAGACAGTCACACATGGGCTGAAGGATTATACGCATAAAGCAAGGGTCTTCCAATCTGGAAGTTGCCCCGCAATGCGCTGTTGCCTAATTTTCATACCTCCATCGAGACCTCATTTCGACAGTAAAAGCCGGGGCGCTACATTAACCAACACTCTTTCTTACCACCCCACACTCAAGAAATTCCAACAGATATGTCGTTGAAAGCATACCCAGGCTCCTGCCACTGTGGCACCATACAATACAAAATCAAGCTCAAGTTCCCACCAGAGATGAAGTCACTACCAAATAGCGACACAATCCGGGTATATAAATGCAACTGTACGCCCCCTGAATCTCTTCACGTTCCAAAACGCTCACCCCCACAGGTACTACATGTCAGAAAATGGGCCTCTTCCACTGTCGACCTATCGACCCAGCTACAGACTTCATTCTCACCTCGCCCTCGCCATCCGAACTAGGTGACTATCGCACTGGTGTCAAGAAGAACGGGTGGTACTACTGCAAGACCTGTGGCGTCCGCGTCTTTGGTATGGGAGGCGAGTGGGAGCAAGTTGAGCTAGACGTTGAGCATTGGTCTGGAAGGACGCAAGAACCGGGCAAAGACAAGGCGCAAAAGGTGTGGAGAACAAAGGGTAAAACAATCACGGAAACAGTCAACGGGGAAGAAAAGGAGAGGTTTTATCACTATTTGAGTGTTAATGCAGTTACATTGGAGCCGGGAGAGGAGGTGGATTTGAACATGTGGCATGAAAAGGGGTGGGTGTTTTATGTAGGGAATTTGGAGAAGGTTAATGGGTCGAAGATGAGGGTCGAGAAGCCGTTTCGGGGAGGGATGTATTAAGCGAAGGATGAGAAACGGTGAGTCCGGTGACGTTCTGTCCCGCTCACTGCAAGGTACCAAGTTTGGTTAATACAAATCTGCAAATCTAGGTGTATACACGAACCTTTATACCGAACACATTGTTCAATAGTCTCAAAGTACTCTGTTATAGAAAACTGAAAAGGTTGTCCAGATGGTGTCATTGCTATGTACCCGCCTAGAGTGGACTTGACTGAAGTTGAAGGTCACTTAGAGCGCACTCATTGGACAACACTCAACTGCAGCCTTGAGCACACACGGCGAATAGCGATGCTCGCTTGTACTTTAGCCAACCCCTGTACGTTTCAATATGCGCTGTACATCGACTTACTACCCCTCCTGTCTCAAAAGGAAGCTCAGTGCTACGCCTCCAGCCTTGGAAGCTATCGCACTGAGGCTTGCCCCTCCCCCCCCTCCCCCCCCCGCCATACGTCACTGAGCTACTACAAATAACCTCGCAAGAACAAGCTGAACACGGACACTATCGCAACCTTGTGAACTCTTTCGCCAACCCTGACTTTGATATCGTTCACACATATTCCTCGCAATGTCTTCCATGGCGTCGTCCACACCCACCTTGACCCAACTTTCTGACCATGGTTCGTTCCTCTCGGTGCCTGCAGACCCCTCTCTCAACCCTGTACCAGAAAATGATTCAACGTCCCCAGCGCTCGGACGCTGCGAACTGCTCGAACTGCCTCGTGAGATCTTAATGATGATCGCAATCGAGCTTGACGATATAGTCTCCCTTGCTGAGAGCCCACTTCGTCGCACATGCAAGTATATGAACGAAGTAGTCGAATACGCCTGGGCAGTGAAGCCGAGCCCGCGTACGGTCGAACGCCTCTTCGAATACGAACGCAACTACCTAAGCCGCCACTCACCGAAAGGACGCCGCTGGGCGTGCAAGCATTGCCTTCGTCTCCGTCCTCGCCACATCTTCGCACACGACCAATTGCTAAGGCCGGACTATCAGAACCGAACCTGCGTAGAGTGTGGCTTCAAGAAGGGGGAATGGGGGTATGGTGTTGGAGAGAGTGTAGCCGTTGGGAATGAGCGATGGGTGAATTGTATGGATTGTGGGCAAATCAAGAAGGGAGACAAGGCCGGACCCTTCTATTTTGGAGGGAGATGCAAGTTCTGCCACGACGCTGAGATGGATATCGGGTGGAATAGGGGTGGATTTTCGATTGGCACAGGGGATGCCGTGACAGACAGCGACTCGACGTCACAGTCAGACGACGATAGGGGCACAGTCTCGCAACCAATGGTAGGTGTGGGACATTTTGGAGAGATATACAACCCGTTTCACTTTTGGGGTAGCATGGAAGGGTGATGTACGCGTCATCGCTACCTAATTGCAGGAGACATGAAATCCTAGAGTGAGTGAGTACGAATGACAGTCACCCACCATTGAGAAGCATCTGACTTTCCACATAGAATCACCTGGATCATCACAATCATCTACACGGCTTGATATAACAACACGGGGGAGGCTACTCCCATGTAAAGAACCGTACATGCTCACATAAGCCAGGCAGTGGCGGGGGTATGATAATACGCATGTAATTTACATAATACACTATACAAACATTGGTCTACTAAGTGGTTATACGCTGCTATTATTGTGACACAAATCTTCTCTCTCATCAATTGCCCCACCCACCAAACCCTCTAATAGTACTCAAATTCCTCCGGCTCAGGCAAAACCTCCATACTAGGCGAATACCGACTAGGATGCCTCGCCCTTCTCACCTCCCCATCCACACGATTCACAACATCCAATTGCCGCTGCAACTCCGTAGTCGCAATTGAATCACGCGCCAGCGCCGCCTCAGCCTCTTTATACGCACGGCTATTGAGTCCGCTCTCCGCTAACAAGATCTTGCGTTCCTTGTCGCGGGGCGCGTAGTCGTTTGTTAGATATGCGGAGTAAGTTTTTGGCGCGTCTTCGCTGGTGCGACGGGTGCGGGGGAGGGGGTTGAGGGGGTTGTGTTCAGTGAAGGAGCGGGGGATGGTGGGTTGGGAGTAGATGCTTGGGGAGTAGGAGGTGTTTGGGATGGCGTTTGGGTCGACGGTAAAGAAGCGGTCGCGGTCGCCTGTTTCGATGTCAGAGGTTGGACGGGATGTGTGATCTTTGCCTTTGACAACGTTGTTGAAGCGGTCTTTGATGTTGGTCCAGAAGGGGTTCGTGGATGTGGAGGCGCGAGGGTGTGTCGGTCGTCCTTCTAGGGCTGCGAGGGTGTCTGCGCGCGCGGATTCGCGGGTTACAGTGTTGATACCATCGTGAGCGTTGTGGTTGCTGCTGTTGTCATTGTCAGCGTAGTACGCGGAAACGGAAGTACCACGCCCATTGTTATGTGATTCCCGTTGCTTAACCATATCCCTTGTAATACGTACTTTCTCCCCGTTCTTCCACTGCTCTAACTCTGCCTCCAGTGCTTTACACTCCGCACACCCAAACCCAAACCCAAAGCGCCCGCCAATGCAGCACTTTGACCACACGGCGTAGGCGAACAAAACGACAAGAAGCAGTGCAATACAGGAGATTGCAATGAACATTGGAGTTAGAGATTTAATGTTGAAAGGCTCGCTGTGGGATACCGGCGATGTGGAGTTTGAAGCTGTTGGAGCGGGGATGGATGTTGAGGTTGCAGAAACGCTTGGAATGGCTGAAGGGGGAATGAAGGGTGCGTAGGTGGGGAAGGCGGGGGTGGGGGTTGGGTAGACAGTGCTGTAGTCTGTTATGGTTATTACCACGATGGGCGGAGAGGGAGCGTTGGCCATGGTTGAGATTCTTGGTAAGAGTATCTTTGTGATGTGGCTTTGGGGAATAGAGGGGTAGTCTGTTCTTTGCTCTTTGCTCCTTGGGTTTGTAGAATTTGGTTTGACTTGGAAGATTTGATGAGGAAATGAATGATATACAGGGGGGAGGCAGTACAGGGTGTAACAAATAGTGCATTGTGAGGAGAGTGTCTAGGCACAATGTATGTACGTGCGGAGGATGTTGGCCAACAATTTGTAATGTGCACGGATTTCACTGCAATGTGTGTTCATAATGTTGAGAAAGTAGTAACTACTGTCATCGATCTCAAAATTACAAGATGTGGAACAATGAGGAGAACAATGAGGAGATATTTGAAATTTTGCCATCGTGGTAACGAGCATAAATATGTAATCAATATAGCACCTTATCTGCATATCTTCAAAAGTCTTTGATAGTTTAAGTTTTAGATTTTTAGACTTCATACCAAGATACTCCGCTTAACCACGAATTTCCTTCACCAAGCTCACAATTTTAGTCAATCAAAATTAATCTACTTTGCAATCCAGCAGCACCGCGCAACAAACACAACATTACCACACAAATCCTGCCCCCTCTCACCACAAACCCCCACCAGACATCCTGAGCCCCAGCCGCGCCCAAACTTGATCTACGCGGCGGAATACGCAAATATGTTAAACCCGGTAACTCCTGATCTACAACCCAGATCCTCATTCTTAATTCACAATCATATTGTACGGCGTCAATACTCGCTTGTAGACTATCATC